GATCGGGGCTCATCTGCCATGCTCGGCTCTCGGGGGCGCCTGTCTCAGCTCCAGCAGCGGCGACCACAACCTCGTCGCTCGACATCTCGTTCATATCAGCATCGCCGCCGCCCTCGTCCTCCTCCTGCTGTTTCGCCGTCGTCTCGGAGGGCCCGTCATGGACGTCAACATGTACGACAGCGGTGCAGATGACAGCACCAAGATGGTTATTGATTCGCAGAAGGCGGCACCATCGCAACCCAGCTACAGCAATGATAGTGGGATACCCCTTCCCGCTCAGCTCCCGGATGGCCAGCCGACGACCCAAATTTATGATATGTGAGTACTGCGATGACTGTACATCCTATCTCCACAACTGACTCGATAAACTTAAATCACAGCGAATCAATGAGACATGTGCAGCTGAGCGACTTGTGTCGAACCTACAAGCTGCCCCACTCGGGAACAATCCCGAAGCTGAAGGAATGCCTGCGCAATTTTAGTCGAAATCCAAAGGTGGCAGACATGTATGTGTTCTACTCTGTTGTGCCATTAGTTATAGGTCTCACCTCTTCTCAACAGCGGCAAGCCCTATGCGCGAAATTCCCATCTCGGGCCCAAGACCGGGAAGGCATCATCTCATCAGAAGAAGTCTACTCAACGCCGTGAAGCCCTCTTCGAGAATGTCCCTCCACCAAGCTCCACGCAGGGCCTACCTGTTGTCCTGTCGAGCGCGGTTGCCCTCAAGCAGAACGAGCGCGATCTCGCATGGGTGAGTGCTGATCTGCCCGCTATCTGAATGAGTATCTGAAGAGGAGCTGATCAAATTCTGCAGGCTTCCAGCATTATTCAAAGATATCCGTACCGCACAAAAGAAGCGCGCACTAGGATTGCTCAGGAAAGGCTGGCAGCGAGGAGGCACCTTTCGGGTTTGGATGTGAGTAATCAATCCGATTGGTATCATCTCCTAGTATCTCAAGGCCTGTGTTTTCCAATGCAGGGCAATCGCGATTCTGCCACCGACCAGTCGATTAAGAAGGGGCTCGAGGATGCTAATGTCAATATTACAAGGCTGCTCGACTATGTAACGGGCGCCCCATTTGTCGATCGCACCACGCATGCATCATCCATCAGCAACAGTGGTGCATCTTACCATCACCAGCCTGCCACCAACAATCATCAATGTATGGACCCATTCCCATGCACCTCTATCTCCTACCAGCCAATCATCTCATCGCTACCTCCTTCCAATGAATCATCCGCACCTCCTGCCACCAGAACCATCACCCTTTATAGTGGGGCAGCTCTCACCTTCACGGAAGCCGACGTTCCTCCCCCGCCTGCCATCTCCTTTGCAAAGAACCTACCTGGACTCAATCGGATGTGGGACGACATCTCAGAACACTGGAACCACCAGTCCGTTCTCGTGATCAAAGGCATTCCAGTTCCGATATGTTATTGGAAGGAGGTCTACACGTCGAAAGGCTCCCCGAAAGGACATCCATGGAAGCAGAACCAATGGAAAGGATTGAAGGCTCGGTGGTTCGAGTGGAAGGTGAGCACCATACTGTCTTCCAAGAAACCCGTAATGACCTTGGCTAGGTGCTTGTCAATGAATGGCGTCAAGGAACCCCTGAAGAATTCTGGGCAAGGTTTCAAGCAGGCGGGAAGCGCCTCGGGTACAAGGTGATTCTCGATAGGCTCGCTGAGCAGCGGATGGCCGAGAATAGCCGCCTGTGTGAGAGGGCTAAGGTGGAATACGGTGACGCATTCCCCTCAATTTTTTCGTACACTAAAAGTGGGAAGACCTATGTGAAAAGTAAGGCTTCCGATGTTGCGAAGCAGTACCGCGAGCTGAAGGGAATGGTGGACGAGGATGAGGAGGATTAAATGGTACATAACACAATTCCTACAAGTACTTTACATGAAATTTATAATATCCATAATAATAACCTTGTTATGCGCAGTGGCAACTCCTTCCGCAGTGATAGCATTTTGTAGCAGGTGGTCGTGATGGATTGAAGTAATCTTCGCGGCGTTCGGTGGGATTGTCGTTCCAGGAGATCAGATAGCGAACAATTGTCATGTTTGAGAAGTCGAGGCTCCAGCCACCCCAACTGCAGATCTGGCGGATTGTCCACCGGCGTTGTGATGCCAGATACTGACACCCACCACGCCGAAAGGAATGAGTTCCATATGGATATGGATCGATATTGACATCAAGGAGATTGTTTCGAAACATCTCAAGAAACTGTTCGGAAGTCTTTGGGGCAAAGGTGAGCTGAGCAACATTGGTGGTCATGAAAAGCTTTGGATCCACATACCATCGGTATATCCTGAGCTGATGGCCTGTCGCCGGCTACGATCTTTCGAAAGATATAACCTGAAGTTATTTTACTAGCGTCAATCCATTCAGCCAATGCACGGACAGGGCACAAATGTGCCTCTTCTTCATGAAGGACATGCAGAACAAATGGCTGAATACCTATCATTAGCAAATTAAAATATTTCTCTCAGAGAATGACAAAGAGATCACTCACCGCCGTCCTGGTGTGTCTTGCGGAAAGGCAGTGTAAGTGTCATGCCATCCTTGTGGAACTCAATGTGCTCGCGTCGTATTTTAAGAACTTCATCCGAGCGAAGAAGACATAAGAAGGCAACAGTATAAATAGCACTGAGGGCACGACGAGCAAGGGGCCCACCCCACTGGTGCAAGGATGGCCGCTCAGAGCGTGATCCCGGAACATAAGCTTTCAGATCCCAAATTTCGGGACGGTGGTTGAAGTCGTAAAGGTCTTCAAGTAT